ATAAAGACCTGATTTGGATTTTTAAAAAATAAAAAAGGCCGGATGTTTAAACAAACATTTAAATTTCTTAAATAAATACGAGTCTATATTAATCTTTAATACTAGCAGGACCACATTTTTTTACTAAAGGGCAGTAATCAATTTTTAAACAAAATTTTAAAGGGAAGTAACAGATTTTTTTCTTAATTAAAAATAATAAAAGACTTTGTACGCGTTTATTGCTTGACAGTAATATCTTATCTTATTTTAATTGTAACATTTAAATTTGTATTATAATGTCGTAAAATGTCTGATCATTGGCTATTGCCTTGGTAGTTTGATTGCTAATTTTCATGTAATTATACATGCACTTAGACAGCTTTAATTTTTTACGTGATGTTGAATAATAATTATTGATGTTAATGTTTAAGTATTGATGGACGCTCACCCTTTAACATCTCTCGTTAACACAGCTCTAAAATAGGCCCCTTTTTCTAACTTTGTCGTCATGTGTCTCGAACCCGTAACACCCGCATGGTAGCCATTACACTATCATCTTAGCTATTTGGATGGAACCACAAAGACAGCATTCTCATGCGAGATATATTTTTTTAGAAAATTCAAACTCTGGTTTCTCTTCACATCGAGTAAATCTTTCGCCTTTTACTAAAGATTCCCGTGGACATGTCATATGCAACAATTGTCAGCAGCAGCAAAGGGGTTTACCCTTGGATATTCCCTCTTGGAGCCACCCGTACTACGGTTCGGTTGGCTTAATGAAATCATGGGTCCCACCCTTTTCAGCAACCAAGATGACCATCTCCATCGACTATCAAGTCCAACGGTCAACGAAACCTCCCAGGGCACATATTGCTAAGTGTCATCAGCCCACACGAGATCCTGCTACTAAACTATGGGCGAGCAGATACTTGGTACTTCTAGTCCAATCTGTTCGATGTAGCCGATCTGGACAACACCACACAAATACACGGTCCTTACACACTGGAATTTGCAAGATACCACAAGAACAAAGTCTGCGGCACACTCAGATGGGTCCCACCTGCACTCAGCAACGATACATTACTAAAGGCACTGAGAACCATCAGCAAAACAAAACCTACAATCACCGCAATACCAAACACAAACAACCACAAATTCATCATTTTCAACGACAACCCACAACACATCCCACACTACATTAAAATCACATACAAGACACAACAATAAACAAGCTAATAGCACTACTAGGCAGACGTCAAGCCTGTTAAACATGTGGATCAAAAAGACATTGGACAAATCATTCCCAGGAAGCAAACACAGAGACAACTCTAAAAGAAAACCCCTCAACAACACAGGAACCAGTTCTATCCACACCGCAGCAACCAACAGAGCCCCTAAATCAGACAGACAAACAAACAACTTCAAATACGATTACAACGAAACCACCAGTCGGAAAATCAACAACAACAACCCAGAGATAGAAATGGACACAACCACACCAAAAAGAAAAAAAACTGAACACAGCCCCACAGAATCAGGGAAAACAAAAAAAAAATAAAATCCAAAGACCACAAAAGCAGTTCACGACATCAGGAAATGCAAATACTGCAACAAGAAGTACGAAACATCCAAGAGAGCGGAAACTCATGAGAACATAGCACACACAAATCTCAAACAGTGCAGCATCTGTAACGATAAAATAATTCACACCGACATAACTATGCACTACAGGCAAGAACACCAAGACGTAACTACTTACGAATGCCGCATTTGCAACGTAAACCTCCCACTAGAAAAAGGCATCCAGATGCACGTATTGAACCACCACCCGAAGACCCCTCAATGAACGTTCATCAATTGTTACTCGAGTTTATGTTTAGACGTTTTGTATTAGTTACTCAACCAATGTATTCAAAACCCACTGTTAAGCTGTTTTAGTAAATGATAAAAATAATATGGTAATAAGACGTGATAATGTTTAAATGATATAAGTAATATAAGCAACACTGGTTATAAAACATACTAATGTATACATAATGTTTTTATTTGTATCTATGCCAGCCTGCTCTTAATAAAAGTATCGGAGGGGGGGGGGGGGACTAAGATAAGGCCCCCTTAATTAAAGGACCAAACTGAGCATAAACATTTCCAATGTCACCAAGCACGAATTCCTGAACAAATAATTTCTATCAGCATGCAGTAATAATAACACATAAAAGGCTGATAAGACATTAATCTGGAACTCAGTTCCTGAATCCTTACTATTTTCAGGAGTTAGATATACATCCACGAAACGGATAATTAAGAATGCGATTTTACCCTGAAAACAATACATTTTATGAATTAGCTGTCATCTCACATACATTTCATGAATTGGTTGTTCCAGGATTCGTCGTTATTAATTTTGTTTCATTTTCATTTGATTAGCTACTGCTGAAAGGGAAGTAAGCGTGTATTATTCGTGACTTTACTAAAGCGCGATTCCTTCCCCTTTCAACCTCAGTAATTATTACCTCGAGAAACTGCCAGTTGTTAAGCCTACCAATTTAATATACATGCCTTATTGGATAGAAATAGAAGTAAATGGTCCAAAGAACAGTTGAAATATTTTGCAACATAAATCACGTAAAAACGATGGTTTTTGTCTCCAGTTTTATTGTATTAAAGTTGACACAAAATAATTTTAACAACACAGTAAAACTGGTTTACTACTTATATATCAAAATTGAAACATAATTTTCCTAGATCACCATAAAAACATCCAACAGCAAAAAGGCGCTGTTAGATTTGTATAATTTTAAACCTAAAGGAAATGTCGGGTACACGAGAACCCTGATGAACAATAACAAGGAAGACCAGAGGAAATGCCTCACAGGGAACATGCATATGTTAAATAGCAACAACCTTTAATTATGCTTGGATAGAACCTATGTCAGTAGCTACTATAGTGAACATCTTCACACCAAGAAAGCTCCTCTCAAAAAACAACAACATTAAACCCCCCTATATATATATATATATATATATATATATATATATATATATATATATATATATATATATATATATATATATATTAGTAGCCTGCTAAACTAAATTTTAAACTACTCTATTTCCTAATTTAGTAATTTACCGTATTTACCGTATATATAAATTCAATTGTTTAGGTATCAGAACACTTGGGTAGATATTAATTTAGAACACCGTGGAGATAATACAATAATTTCTAGGGTGAAAATACGTAATTAGCAAACGTAATTTAAACAACCTTTTATAAAATAATACAATAATGAAAAGGTTGAAAAAAAAAGCATAATGCATGACAACTCACATAAATCCATAAAAGAAAAATCGTTTGAAATTTTTTAATTATTTCATTACTTTTTTGTTACTTTAAAAGATAATAATTAATTGTATTAACAAAAACTACAGAAAATAAGTACATTGCATATATTATAGCTGTAAAGCTTAGAAAAAAACATTTTAGAGTTTGTCGTTGAAATTAAAAATAACTTAAATTTGGAGGCCGACTAATCCACATTATGCTCAGTTAACAATCATGAAGCAATTATGAAACAAACTGCTTGTCAGTTGCTGGGTGGATTCTATGTGAGGCATTATAGCACATGAGTAAACATTTCGCCGGGTATCACGTGGACAGACTTTATCCTAATGCCACTACCATGTGAACAACAATATCCACATTTTATGATGGCATTTCACCAATATATCCACACACGTTTCACAAATCAGTGAACCAGCTTCATTTACGTTTTAAAGTTTAATAGTTCATGCTCAGCTTTCCTTTCTCAAAACTACTTTGATTATCTCTTCATATACGCGATTATCCTCAAAACAAGGAATGTTATTTAAAGTCGTATGTCCAAAGATACAGAGTTTTTTTTTTCCTTAGCACTGCTCAGCTTGCCAGATGAGTTGAAGTTGTTCAAATACATACAAGTATAGGACTCAAGATGACAACTCGCCAAAAAACATGTCAGTGCTACTACTTAATGGCGTTGTTTACATGCTGGTTCCCCTTGTTTTGTGACCTCGGTTATTGCCCCTTATTGTTCTACTAGAGCTTACACTGACTCATCCATAACAAGGCTCACATTGACTTGTGCTTGTCAGAATAAAAAGTATTAAACATATTACGATATATCCTACCTATATGAATTTAATGAAACAAATTAAAACAATTAACGAAATAACTAATCCCTCGTCATAAAGATAATCGTGTTGTACAATAATCCACAATTAACTTTACATAATAAATATATTAAAGTTGCCAACCACGAACTAACAAAATTAAATTTTACTATTTTAACTTTAAGCTCAGGCTTCTATATCTGTTGTAGGTTAGAGTAATGAAAGAACTGTATTCAAATACTTACTTGAGACATGAGCGTTCGAAGACCTTTTACTTAATGTTAAGCTTTTGATTGTCTGCAAGTCTTTGAACCTTGACCATCGACGTGTGAAGGCTTGTGATACCTGAAAAGGTTTTAACGAAATATCCAGGTAGAAATATGGGTTGAAATAACCACTTGTATGTGAGATAGAATCCAAATTTTATAATAGGTCTATCTTAATAGTGGTGTCGGATAAATTAGGTGATGACACGCTATTTCGTTTAATTCTTTTAAAATGTTTATCGTATACACCAGAGTTTCTTCCAAAAAGTCTACCGTCCCCCGAACGAAATGGAATTTATATAGAAAATATGTACTTTTAACAGTGACCGCCCCCCATCCCCCCCCCCCCAAAAAAAATATTTCAAGTGCCCCTACCCCCCCCCCCCCCCCCCCGGAGAAAAATGTCTGGAAGAAACACTAGTATACACATACAAAGTAGACTATAATATGGAAATACGCTGTATATTCAGAGACATCCAGAGCGTGGCACTAGTATTTTGTTCCATCACGGAACTAGCAAAACTACCAAGACTTAAGAAGAGTCAAGGTATGAAAATTCCTTTCAAATCGTTTCAATGGTATTGATTACTAAAATCTTTAATCTCACACTAATTCAACAAGGGAGTTTACTCTAAAAAATTCACTAGTCACTAGGTTAATTACCTTTCCAGTTGTAACGGTGTATATGGCACAGACAACAGCCTGTAGAAATGAAACATCGTTTTACGTTATTCACTTATTATTGGCTGACAGTATAGGTAGGGTATATAGACAATATATATATATATATATATATATATATATATATATATATATATATATATATATATATATATATATATCCCGGAAAATAGAAGACATCGTACTACAACTCAACATTTAACATAAAAATTCTTTCAAGCTCTCGTACGTCGCACTCTAGAGCGGTATTGTAGCCACTGTCGGTTATGAACACCACATTGTACGAAAGTTTTGGCTGCTTCAAATTCAGGCTCTAGATAAACCAAATATGGCACGTGACTTATGCAGCAATAAAACAGTTTCGCCAGGTCAAAAAGTTGATAAAAAGTATATTTAGCTGTTAATAAATTGGTATCAAAGGACCAAATTTAGTTAAAAATAGTAAAAAAAACAATACAACAAGCATTTTTGCTTGATAGAACATCATTCTTACAAAATTTATCAAAAATATTTTAATCAATTGAGCTATAAGATTCAATTGTAAGCACAAACTAACATGACAGAGTGAGATAACATTATCCCACACAACTAACCTGTACATGTGGAGCTATAATGTTATAAACCCTGTAAATAATTGATACGACGGCGTTCTTATCGCTACTCATCGGATAAGCAAACACAAGATGTATTGGGCCAAGCAAAAACATCAGAATCATCATTGACTTGGACACCTGCCTGAAGAGAGCATCTCAGTTCAATACATCTAAAGTAGCATTCAAATTTATAATAATTTATGAAAAGTATTTGTAAAACTGTGTTTAGGCTTTACATTTTTTAATTAATTATTTTAGATAGTTTATATATACACACAGCTACAGGTACTATTATTAATGCAGGTAGATATACAGGTACAGAATTAGGATTAAAGATCAAAAAGACATATAGATAAATAAAGAGATATAAATGGAGACAGACAGAGATAGAGATTGAGAATGAGATAAGGATAGGTATGGGAATAGGGATAATTATAGGGATACGGATAGGGTGACGGAGGCGTGACATAGATTGAGGTGGATATGGATACAGAGATTGAGGTGGATATGGATACAGAGACGTATCGGTAGATAGACTGAATATTAAATAAATAGACAGACCACACGTGATTGGTTTAATTAAAATTTGATATAATACTTGACTGTAATTAATAGAAATAGGCATACATGTAAAAAAAACATTAACGATAAGCGTTGAAGCCTTACCATATTTTTTTAGCCTCTGTACTGTTGTTTGATGATAGTTTCGTTAAAATGATCCTTATTAAGTTTACAACTATAATAAGGTTGATCTGAAAGTAATTTAAAACATAATGATCTTGATTAAGTTTACAACTACAATCGTTAAAATTATCCTGATTATGTTTATATCTATTATAACATTGATCTGAATGTAATTAAAAACGTAATGCTTTAAAAAATAAGAGTAGTTAAATCAACATCTTCCAGAAAAATAGTGTCATTCAACCTTCATTTCTAATCATGTTTTTCTATTCACACTCGTCGGGGGGAGGGGGGTCCGTAATTTTGTGACGATGTGTGATGAGGGGGAGGGGGGGTTCAGATGTTGCGACGTCACACTTTTGCATTATAAAAAAGCAATGTTAGAAAACGAATTTTAGACGTTATTTCGCGTTTTAGATAACTGTTTTAATAAATTGTAATAGTTTAGACAAGATTTTAGAAAAATATCGATGTTTAAAAAAAATTCAACTGCAATTTTGAGGGGGGGGGGGGGGTTGTAGGTTGAGGTGTGACGTTATTTTAGGGGGGGGGGTCTGGCTTTTTGTGCCAACGCTTAACGGAGGGGAGGGAAGGGGGTAAAAATCGTCAAAAAAAAGCGTGACGTCATTTATGGATGACCCCTATTTTATTTTAATGGCTTCCATGTGGGATTTTACAAAGAAGATTATTTAACTATGTGTAAAGAAAAAAACAACTTAACTAGCTGTTAAGTAGTTTTTAAGTTGATTCTACAATGTTGATTTATATAAATTATCATTATAAATCCCTATGAATCGACTTGTTGCATGAGTTCGATCATGAATAAAATGCCTGTTGGCTTACCACCAAGCCAATGACCATGGGAGCTGTGATAATGTATTCAAATTTATCGCCAGCATACAGGGACCTGGAATTGCCATCAAAATACAAACACAGCGCCCAAGTGATAGTTGTTAATGCTGGAACACCTGTAATACATTGGCTATCTTATACTCTATTACAGGATACTCAATAGAAACATGTATTGTATTATCACATTGTAAAATGTTGGTCTGTGTTTAGTCACTTGGTTTTTAATCATACCGTCCTTCCTTGGTTTTGGTCTTAGACCCAATGACTTTTCATTGGATTCTGCAGTCAATTGTTTAAACGTATATACAAAATAGGCGGTGGTCACTCGTTGCCGTTGTATATGTACGTATATATATGTATATATCTATATATATACAATAAAACATAGGTTTATAAAAGCAATTGTTCAACTCCTTTACCCCAGCCAATGAAGTAGAAGAGTAAAAATGGCGGCTTGCTGTCCTGGAAGGGCCGTAGGACAAGAATGAAATGCAGGTAGAGTCCTTCAACCAACATCCACATGAAAGGTGCCACAAACACATATTTAAAGAGGTAGTGAATTACCTCGAACACTAATTCCTAAAATAAAATGCATGTTTAATTTATGAAGGATAATTTAATCTCAAAAAGATCCATTAATCTGAAATGCATGCAAATAATTCTGCTGTTTCAAATTCTCGAATAGTTTTCATTGAGTACGCGCTTTAATTAATTTATTTTTTCTTGACTAACTCTTGATTTAGATTTTCAGATCTTGTCTATATATATATATATATATATATATATATATATATATATATATATATTATATATATATATATATATATATATATATATAAAGCAAAGTGGTCGGGTGCCCGATAGGGCACTTCCCGGCGCCGCAGGCGCGTCAAATTTGGCACTAAGGTGCCTTATGGCGATAGAACATGAGGGCCGGTGACGGTTCGGCAAAAAGTCTACGGAGCGGGGGTCAAAACTGACCTCGACTGACCGGCGCCTTATATGGGCTATATTACGAAAAAAAAATTCCTCCGACGACCCCCCTTGAAATTTTGTGAGGTGGTAGGAGAACACCTAGGGGTGTCACAAAAAACTCGGCATATCTGGGAAAACTTCGTAAAGGGGTCAAAACTGACCAGTTGTATTTCCCTATATAATCTTTGTATTTTATGGGAAAAACAGAGGGTCATTTCAACGCAGACTTTAGGGTACTTAAGCTCAGTATATCTGGCTAATTTTTTGCATGCTCCTAGGTCAATGGCTTGACCTTTAGGGAAAACTGTCGGTTACACTCAAAGCCCTCGACGAGGGCTAAAAAGTGACCGCGAGTGAAATTCTCTTTATATGAGCTCTATTACGAAAAAAAAATTCCTCCGACGACCCCCCTTGAAATTGTGTGAGGTGGTAGGAGAACACATTGGGGTGTCACAAAAAACTCGGCATATCTGGGAAAACTTCGTAAAGCGGTCAAAACTGACCAGTTGTATTTCCCTATATAATCTTTGTATTTTATGGGAAAAACAGAGGATCATTTCAACGCAGACTTTAGGCTACTTAAGCTCAGTATATCTGGCTAATTTTTTGCATGCTCCTAGGTCAATGGCTTGACCTTTAGGGAAAACTGTCGGTTACACTCAAAGCCCTCGACGAGGGCTAAAAAGTGACCGCGAGTGAAATTCTCTTTATATGAGCTCTATTACGAAAAAAAAAATTCCTCCGACGACCCCCCTTGAAATTTTGTGAGGTGGTAGGAGAATACCTTGGGGTGTCAGAAAAAACTCGGCATATCTGGGAAAACTTCGTAAAGGGGTCAAAACTGACCAGTTGTATTTCCCTATATAATCTTTGTATTTTATGGGAAAAACAGAGGGTCATTTCAACGCAGACTTTAGGGTACTTAAGCTCAGTATATCTGGCTAATTTTTTGCATGCTCCTAGGACAATGGCTTGACCTTTAGGCAAAACTGTCGGTTACACTCAAAGCCCTCGACGAGGGCTAAAAAGTGACCGCGAGTGAAATTCTCTTTATATGAGCTCTATTACGAAAAAAAAATTCCTCCGACGACCCCCCTTGAAATTTTGTGAGGTGGTAGGAGAATACCTTGGGGTGTCACAAAAAACTCGGCATATCTGGGAAAACTTCGTAAAGGGGTCAAAACTGACCAGTTGTATTTCCCTATATAATCTTTGTATTTTATGGGAAAAACAGAGGGTCATTTCAACGCAGACTTTAGGGTACTTAAGCTCAGTATATCTGGCTAATTTTTTGCATGCACCTAGGTCAATGGCTTGACCTTTAGGGAAAACTGTCGGTTACACTCAAAGCCCTCGACGAGGGCTAAAAAGTGACCGCGAGTGAAATTCTCTTTATATGAGCTCTATTACGAAAAAAAAATTCTTCCGACGACCCCCCTTGATATTTTGTGAGGTGGTAGAAGAACACCTTGGGGTGTCACAAAAAACTCGCCATGTCCGGGAAAAATCGGGAAATGGGTCAAAACTGACCAGTCGTATTTCCCTATATAATCTTTGTATTTTATGGGGAAAACAGAGGGTCATTTCAAAACGGATTTTATGGCACTTACGCTCTTTACATCTGGCTCAGTTTTGGCATGCTTATAGGTAAATGGCTTGACCTTTAGGGAAATTTGTCGGTTACACTCAAAGCCCTCGACGAGGGCTAAAAAGTGACCGCGAGTGAAATTCTCTTTATATGAGCTCTATTACGAAAAAAAAATTCCTCCCACGACCCCCCTTGATATTTTGTGAGGTGGTAGGAGAACGCCTTGGGGTGTCAGAAAAAACTCGCCATGTCCGGGAAAAATCGGGAAATGGGTCAAAACTGACCAGTCGTATTTCCCTATATAATCTTTGTATTTTATGGGGAAAACAGAGGGTCATTTCAAAACGGATTTTATGGCACTTACCCTCTTTACATCTGGCTCAGTTTTGGCATGCTTAAAGGTAAATGGCTTGACCTTTAGGGAAAACTGTCGGTTACACTCAAAGCACTCGACGAGGGCTAAAAAGTGACCGCGAGTGAAATTCTCTTTATATGAGCTCTATTACGAAAAAAAAATTCCTCCGACGACCCCCCTTGAAATTTTGTGAGGTGGTAGGAGAACACCTTGGGGTGTCACAAAAAACTCGGCATATCTGGGAAAACTTCGTAAAGGGGTCAAAACTGACCAGTTGTATTTCCCTATATAATCTTTGTATTTTATGGGAAAAACAGAGGGTCATTTCAAAGCAGACTTTCGGGTACTTAAACTCAGTATATCTGACTAATTTTTTGCATACTCTTAGGTGAATGGTTTGACCTTTAGGGAAAACTGTCGGTTTGACTCTAAGCCTTCGACGAGGGCTAAAAAGTGACCGCGAGTGAAATTCTCTTTATATGAGCTTTATTACGAAAAAAAAATTCCTCCGACGACCCCCCTTGAAATTTTGTGAGGTGGTAGAAGAACACCTTGGGGTGTCACAAAAAACTCGGCATATCTGGGAAAACTTCGTAAAGGGGTCAAAACTGACCAGTTGTATTTCCCTATATAATCTTTGTATTTTATGGGAAAAACAGAGGGTCATTTCAAAGCAGACTTTAGGGTACTTAAACTCAGTATATCTGACTAATTTTTTGCATACTCTTAGGTGAATGGATTGACCTTTAGGGAAAACTGTCGGTTTGACTCAAAGCCCTCGACGAGGGCTAAAAAGTGACCGCGAGTGAAATTCTCTTCATATGAGCTCTATTACGAAAAAAAAATTCCTCCGACGACCCCCCTTGATATTTTGTGAGGTGGTAGAAGAACACCTAGGGGTGTCACAAAAAACTCGGCATATCTGGGAAAACTTCGTAAAGCGGTCAAAACTGACCAGTTGTATTTCCCTATATAATCTTTGTATTTTATGGGAAAAACAGAGGGTCATTTCAACGCAGACTTTAGGGTACTTAAGCTCAGTATATCTGGCTAATTTTTTGCATACACTACTATAGATGACTAGGCCGTATGGAAAAACTGTTGGTCAGACTCAAAGCCCTCGACGAGGGCTAAAAGATGATCTTGAGTGAAATTCTCCTTATATGAGATATATATATATATATAAATAAATTGACGAACGATCCCCTTAATATTATGTGACGTCGTAGACCGACCCTGGAGGCTAACAAAAAAACTTTATTCCCGTCGGAAACAGCCATTATAGTTGTTAAATATGTTCATATACCGTAATTTCTTATATAAGCATAGCAACTGTTTGTAAAAAAAAAACAAAGACATACGTCATACGTTCAGTTTTCAAGGGAGGTAACGTTTTTTAAATTATTATTTTTCAAATAATTGTATACTATTTTAAACAGAAACAGAAAATGACGAAGTATAGCATTTGTTTTAGTACAAAATTAAGTTGTTAATTTAGTTACGTATTCCAATTAAATAAATAAATAAATTTCAAAAGGCAATGTAATAAAAACTATGAGATGTACTGTTCATGGAAGCTGTGTAGTTCTAATTCTATTTTACTTATACATTGCGTACTTTCCGATTTTCTCTGCGAACGGTATTTAAATGACAAACTAAAACATTTTTTTTCTAAAGTTAGCATTACTGTTTAAATTAAAGCACTCAACACCAAATCCATCGCTAAATAATTAAGTATTCAAATTCTCAAATGTTATTTAAAAACCTAAGCGAAGCTAGGCAGTATGCCTAGTCTATATATATAAAGCAAAGTGGTCAAGTGCCCGATAGGGCACTTCCCGGCGCCGCAGGCGCGTCAAATTTGGCACGATGGTGCCTTGGGGCGATAGAACACGAGGGCCGGTGACAGTTGGCCGAAAAGTCTACCGAGAGGGGGTCAAAACTGACCTCGACTGACCGGCGCCTTATATGGGCTATATTACGAAAAAAAATTTCCTCCGACGACCCCCCTTGATATTTTGTGAGGTGGTAGCAGAACGCCTTGGGGTGTCACAAAAAACTCGCCATGTCCGGGAAAAATCGGGAAATGGGTCAAAACTGACCAGTCGTATTTCCCTCTTTAATCTTTGTATTTTATGGGAAAAACAGAGGGTCATTTCAAAACGGATTTTAGGGCACTTACCCTCTTTGCATCTGGCTAATTTTTGGCATGTTTATAGGTAAATGGCTTGACCGTAGGGCAGACCTGTCGGTCTTACTCAAAGCCCTCGACGAGGGCTAAAAAGTGACCGCGAGTGAAATTCTCTTTATATGAGCTCTATTACGAAAAAAAATTTCCTCCGACGACCCCCCTTG